GGTGTGCTCCGCAGGCGGAGCAGCAGCTCTGATCTTTCTCGAGTCGGGATGTGTCCCGAAAGTCATTAAAAAAAAGTGACAACCTTTATGTCCGCGATCATACGTAGCTTGAGTTCTTGCCACAAATGCTCAATAGAATTCAAGTCCGGTGATTGCGAGGGCCAGTTAAAAACTCGCATTTTTTTCATGATGAAAAATTCTTTTATTAGTTTTGATGAATGTTTGGGATCGTTATCTTCCCATGTAGGGTTTGCCGGAGTTACAACGCGCCTGGCATTTTGCGAGAGCTATGGCATGTATCTGGCAGCCGAAGCTCTGGTAGCCAGTACTGAACCAGCGCTGCCAAATATCTGGCTTCTCGAGACTCTGGTGTTATACTGAACACCGACGCTGGGCCAACGTATGACAGTCGACGGTGAGTCGGAGCTCTGGCAGCCAGTACTGGGCCAGCGCTGCCAAATATTTGGCTACTCGAGACTCTGGCCCAGCAATGGCCCAGCGCTGGCAATGAAGCACTAGCTCAGCACTGGAGCTGTATTCCGTACACGCTTACCGACAATTATCGGTATTGTTAGCAAAGTTGCGTAGCTTTTCTACGTTCTACAAAAGCTGCGCAGTACTATTAATAATACCGATAGTTGTCGGTAAGCGTGTATGGAATACAGCCCCTGGCTATCTGTACCGAGCTAGCGCTGACAACCAGCGACAAATCCGTAACGCAACGTTGACATTGAAGCTCACTTGTACGTTGCTAGACAACCACATCGGACATCCAGGGTTATAACAAAGCGGCATACAAGCTACAAAGGAGCATACAGATTGCATTAGTAAACGTAGTTTAAATTAAATAACGCAGTTTAAATTTTCACTTAATTTCATTATAACACAAGTATAGGTATGTGGAGAATATGTCTATTTATTACCGGGAAAAAAAGTGTCGTGAGTTAAAGAAAAGACGAAACGTGGACGAACAGGGAAGCACATTAAGGAAGAAGCATGCACGGATAAATATTAGTGCTGATAACAATCATAATCATGATCGTGAGTCCTATAATAATTTAAGCAATGACACTGTGAATAATAACATAGAGACAGATGAGGTTATATTTCGGGATGTGAATAGTGAAAATAACCATGAGATAGAAATAGATGAAATTAAGTTTGCGAATACTAGTAACAGTAAATTAGCTTTGACCGAAAAAATACCCAAGAGAGGAATTAAAGAAAAAATCTTATAGTGGACATTGCAAAATATAGATACACTGAGATTACGCGTAGCAACGAATTTGTTAGGGATATTAAGGAAAGAGGGACAAGTGTCGTTACCAAAGATAGCGCAAGCTTTATTAAATATGACGCAACATAGACCTTTACAAATAATGACAAGCACTCGGAAAACAGATAATTCGTACGCATACTTAGAGATAAAGAATGGGTTAGAAAAAATAATTTCACCAAATGTGTATGATGAAAATAACATTTCGATGTTAATTCACATAGACGGGATGCAAATTTTTAATAGTTCAGTAATTCAGGTGTTGCCAATTATTTAAAAAATTTTTCATGCCAATTATGTAAGCAAGCCTTTTGTTGTCGCTATTTATTGCGGAGATTCTAAACCCGAAAGCAGCACAATTTATCTAAATGATTACAGAAGCAGAAAATTTAATAAATAACGGTGTAGAAATTCGTGGGAAAAAATATTCATTTGAAATAAAAGCTATAATTGCAGATGCTTCTGCGAGAGCATTTTTAAAGTGTTGCAAGCCACCAAACTCATATTATGCATACGAAAGATGTATTACGAATGTCTGTTAGTAAGAAGCGTTTACAGAAAGGAGTCTACCCAGAGATGGACTGTTTGAAACGAAATAATGAATCTTTTTTGAAGCAACATCAGCCAGAGCACCACAAAAAAAATATTAAATCAGCATTGCTGCAATTAACAAAATTTGACATTGTTAATTCTGTAATTATAGATAGTATGCATCTTTTGTATCAGGATGTGATGAAATTTTTACTTGAAAAGTGGCTTGTGAAAAAAATGTTGCGGGTCTTAGAAAACGTCAGAAACAAAATTTAAAAGATATATTGAATTCAATCAGTCGAGATATATCACATGAGTTTCAGCGTAAAAAATTTGATATTGATACAATAGCCAGATGGAAAGCAACACAATTTAAATTCTTCCTGCTATATTGTAGTGCGATAGTTTTGCAGGATGTACTTTCGACAAATTATTATAAACATTTCTTGCTATTGTTTGTAGCTTTCCGTATTTTAAACAAACGACACATAACGTTATCACTTAATGAATACGCGAGAAGCTTATTAAGAAAATTTTTTTACTTATTACCGTCTCTCTATGGAGAAGAGTCTCAAGTTATAAATATGCATTATTTAATCCACATAGCAGACGATGTACAAATTTTAAAAGTACCACTGACAAGCAAACCTACCTTTGTGTCAATCGCCGATTTTATTTAAACTCAGTACACTTGTAGAGTAGGAAAAAATAATAGACACGTATTTTTTAATATCGGCAATGCTGCAATTTTAAGGGTGAAAACACCCTCTGAAAGGTAATTTGACATATTTGGTTTTGAGCGAATATCTTCGAAACCATGAGAAATAAAAAAGTTTCAAATAAAAGTTTAATGGTAATTAACGTTCTTAAAGACAGTATAATCAAATTTTAGAATAATTTGGTATTTTGCAAAATACCCCCACCACCATCAATTAATTTTGCAAAATTAAAAAAATTTTTAGGATAAAAATTAAAGATAGTTTCACGCCAAATTCAACCATGTATAGCAAAGTTGGTTTCCGAAATGCCATTTTTTGAAAATAATCTGTAAACAACTCGCTATGGTGGTATTTTGCAAAATATCAAATTGTTACAAAATTTGATTATACCATTTTCAAGAACGTTAATTACCATTAAACTTACCTCAAACAATTTTTTATCTTTCACGGTTTCGAAGATATTCCCCCAAAACCAAATATAGCGAATTACCTTTCAGGGGATGTTTTACCCCTTAAAAGTAAGATTAGGCATGTATAAAAAAATACATGTCTTTTACAAGTAAATCTACCTTTGTGTCACTCACCGATTTTGTAGAAACTATTGGGTGAGTGCAAAAGTTCGTGCGGAGTTTCAATAGATGGAGTTATAAGCGTCGTAAAGTGTTGTCATTAATACTTCCATCTACATATTATATAACGTTGGAAAGGTGACATCTTCAGCTGTTATTAAAAAAAAAATCATTTGTTTTCATACAAACTGCTTCGAGAAATATCACTTTAAAAATGAGTATCGATAAGGTGCATTTACGGCATGTTATACTTTACGAGTTTCGGAAGGGAATAAACGTTGCCGCAGCCGTAAAAAACATTCAGGATGTTTATCAGGATGAAGCACCAGCTAAACGAACTGTGGAAAAATGGTTTGCTAAATTTCGGCGCGGAGAATTTAACCTTGAAGACGAGCCACGCTCTGGTCGACCTTCTGACATTGATGACGATGTTTTGCGTACTTTAGTGCTCAATAATCCGCGAATTTCAACAGAAGAAGTTGCTACAGCACTAAACGTTGACCGATCAACCGCTTTTCGGCGTTTAAAAAAGATGGGATTCGATTTGAAGCTCGATATATGGGTGCCCCATTTGCTGACCGAGAAGAACAAAATCAAGCGAATTTCTGCAGCCGTTTCTTTACTCGGGCGGCTCAATAACGAGTCGTTTTTGGATCGACTAGTGACGGGCGATGAGAAATGGGTCTCTTGTATTTACAAATATCTCTTGTATTTACAAAAACGAGTAATTAATTCGTTGCATTTAAGCTCAGGTTATTAGAGATGTTTTTAAAATCTAAGGAAATGATAAGGGATTTTCATCTCGCTGAAAACAAATCCGATGTAAAAATTGTAGAATTAAAAATGGGCTTTATACTCCATTTGTGAGCCGTAAGCCACGTCCTCCGTCTGTCATCTCTGAATACGAACGCTCTTCGGGGCTATCGCGTGCCTTGGTTAGGCACGTTTACGAAACAACATTATCAAACTTCAATCGCTCATTCATAATCAACTATCTTCTCCTCGGTTTATAAATATGTTTAAGTATTCGTGGTACAAAAGTGGATATTTACAAGAGAAACTACATGAGTTTAATAATCCCGTAGATTATTGTTTCAAAAATTGTGAAGCTACATGTGGATTATGCAATAATATTGTAATTATAAAGTGTGCTTGGTGTGCAAATTTTTTGTGCATAAAAGAATTTTTTTTAAATATCATTTCTGCAAAGAATACAAATATAAAGAAATTAACATAAACGAGGTGTGAAAAATGACGTCGTTGCAAAGAAATAGAAGACATTAGTAACACATGTGAAAAAAATGAAAATAGGAATAATAAAAAAAAGTACAAAAGAATAATAAAAAAAATAAAAAAACCGAAATTTCAAAAAAATACCGAAAAAACAAAATGGGAATAGATTCTATCTCCTCGTCGGTTATTCCTGGGTTCGGCAAAGAGCAAGATGGGGTACAATGGTGGAGGCCACGCGCGATTACTTTGCCTTCCCAGTCTACCTCGTGGCCGTCGTTGAGGATTACTTCCGGGGTCGGCGTCTAACTTGGAGGGACGCCGATGGCAAGGTGTGCGAGAGGGGGATGAGTTGCGGGGTTCCGCAGGGGTCAGTCCTGGGCGCCTTACTGTGGAACCTCGGATACGATTCAGTCCTCCGAACTGCTCTCCTCCCCGGCTGTAGCATGATCTGCTACGCAGACGACACGCTCGTCTTGGCCGGGGGGAGAGACTGGGGGAGGCCGTACGGACGGCCAACTTTGCTGTGGCATGTGTCGTGCGTTCCATCCGCGAGTTGGGTCTGGTGGTGGCCGAGAGGAAAACAGAGCCGATTTTCCTGTACGGGAAAGGAAAAAAAGGCCACCCCAGGCCCAGATCCGTGTTGGAAGAATCAGGGTCTCAGTCGAGGCCCAGATGAGATATCTGGGCCTCATATTGGATGGCACCTGGTGCTTCAAAGAACATTTTAATCGTCTGGTCCCCCGGTTGAGAGTCATCTCAGCCAATGTCAGCAAGCTAATGCCAAGGGTTGGGGGCCCAGATGGGAAGGCACGTCGCCTCCACGCTGGCGTACTGAATTCGGTGGCTCTGTACGGGGCGCCGATCTGGGCGGAAGCCCTGGCCGTCAGTCGCCCGCTGCAAGCAACCTTTCGTAGAGTGCATAGGACGCTGGAGGTTAGGGTGACCCGCTGTTACCGAACGGTTTCCCACGTGGCGGCGATAGCTCTGGCGAGCATGCCCCCCTTAGAACTCCTCGGTCTGATGTACAAGAGAATGTACATCAGGAAGCGGGAGCTCATTAGGGCGGGGGGTGGGGGGTAGACCCTCGCCAGGGCAGTGCGGGAAATGAAGCACCAGGCTCGGCAGGTCCTCCTCCAGAGATGGCAGAGGATTCTGGCAAATGCCAGGTATAGGAGGAGGACCGTTGAGGCCATCCAGCCCTGCCTATCAGAGTGGGTGGGCAGGGCACACGGGACCCTGACCTTCAGGATGGCACAGGTGCTCACCGGACATGGATGTTTCGGTGAGTACCTGTGCAGAATCGATAAGGAGCGCACGGCACAATGCCACCACTGCGATTACGACCACGACTCCGCGCAACACATGTTGCAGGACTGCCCGGCTTGGACGGAAGAGCGCGGACTCCTAGTCGGTGAACTGGGACCGGACCTCTCGCTCCCCACAATAGTGGGGAGAATAGTGGGAGACGAGAGAAGGTGGGAGGTTTTTGCCTCCTTCTGCGAGATGGTTCTCTCGCAGAAGGAGGCCGCGGAGGAAATCCGCAGGGAGGCGGAAGGGCGAGGCAGAAGACATAGGCGGAGGGAACGCCATCGCCTTTGGAGAGCGGGGAGGAGTAGGAGCAGGGAGGAGGATATCGACTCCTCGGAAGAGGAGGAGATAAGGAAGATGATCCGTCCACCATCTCTACCTCCTCAACCTGCTCCTTCCCCTCCAAGGGGAAGACCCCCAAAAAGGGCTCCTGCGAGGCACCGCGACGCCCATCCGAGGGCGGCAAGGTATCCGCCTGCAGCAGCAACAGGAGCAAGGCATCCGGTCAGGAGAAGGAAGGTGGCGGCAGTAAAAACGTTGCCAGTTACCCCATCAACACTGGCAGCAGGAGAAGTGAGGAGGGGTGTGAGAACTCAAAACCCACCCCCTCTCCGTCGCCCCCTGGCTCCTCGGACAGGAGTCGGGTGAGGATAAGGGAGGAGAGTACGAGCGCGACTGTGGCGCTGTCACAGTCATAAGCGCCTCTCCCCCCTTGTAAATATGGGAAGGTAAGAAAAGGATGTGGTAACCCCTTCCTTCTCCTCTCAAATGAAGGGGAAGGAGAGCCCGGCGGCGTCGCCGGGCTGGAGGGTGGGGCACTGGGCGGAGATTCCCAGGGCCCCAATCAGCCCTCCAACGCAGGGCGGCCGGCTAAGGAGGTGGATCAGTCGGTCGCACAGCATGTATTGGCGGCGCCCCGCCTGGCTAGGAACGGTGGTTGAAGCGCAGGCGTTGCCGGCTTCCCCCTTCCCAGCCACAGAGGTGGGGCGTGAGAGGTGGAAGGGGGAAGCGGTGGTTGAAGCGAGCCTCGGCTTATTTCCCCCTCCTCCTGGGGGAGCGGCGGTCGAAGATGAGCTATGGCTCGCTTCTCCCCTCCCCCACTCATCCCTCGGGGAAGACGATGAAGTCATCTGGACTCGGGGCCCCGATTCGCAGTTACGTAGGCACCGAGGCCCCGAACCAAGTCCCTTCGCAGCGCCACCCGGGGAGGTTTTAGCCGTAGGAGTCCCCTGGCCCTTCCCCGAGGGTCAGGGTATCCATGATGGATTTCCTCCTCGTAAAAAAAAAAAAAAAGTGGAACCTCTTCTCCCGTGGACGCCACCTTGACGTGATGGGGGAGCTTGCGTGTCCCAATGACGTACAGGGCTGTACCGGCAGGGAGTTTCGACCCCCTGGCAGGTTTTACCATGCCGGGGTGACCTGTACGGAGGGACCAGAATAAGAGCGTCCATAATCTCCTGGATGGGCAGCTGCCTCCAGGTTTTACCTAGGGACTGGAGGACCGTACTCATACGATTCAAAGGCCCTACAGCGGGCTCGTTAGCCTGGTGAAGGCAGCCGGTCTAGGGGAAGGAAAACCCCTAAATCAAACCCGAGTGGGTAGAGCTCGTAACAATCCTACATATAATGGATACTATTATGACGACTGAGGGAAAGAACATTTCGGAATTCGGAGCCGAAAACCGGCGCGAGGATGGGGGTATTGTCCCCCCCCCGTGTCGTCATCCTACGACGGGCCGTCACGAGTGTTGACCACAGGCGCTCGTGAGGAAGTGGATACCGTGAAGCGTCGCGCCGGGGACATGGTCCTGACCCCCGACGCGTCGTCAATAGACGACAGGCCAAGATCGAAGACCAGCTCTACGAGGAGCAGAAGTCGGAGCCCAGGTGAGAGCAGTGAGAGCTGCTTCTCACCTGCCGACGAAGACCACGACCCGGACTGGTTTGATGTGTCCTACTCTTGACGACAACGCCAGAGAGACCGCCTCCACCGGGGGGCGAGTAAGGGGCCGCGCACCGAGGGAATCAAGTCCCTGGCGAAGATCGGCCAGATGAGCGGTTCCCACCGGGGGACTCGTTTCGTGAGCCCTCGGGACGAAGAGGGGCGGCCACGCACCGGGGGAGGAATACCCTCACCGGAAGGTGAGAAGCACCTCTTCCGCCGAGAGGATGGTGAGGCGGACCCCCGCGTTGAAGTAGGTCCGTCCAATGAGGGAGTGATCTCGGCCCAGGGCGAGGGGACCACGATGACTGGCGGGACGCCAGTGAAAAATAGGCCGGGCCCCCTCTCTAGTAAGAGGGGGGGTCGGAGCGCTACAGGGGGAGGGGACGCAGTCGCGGATGCGGTCGGTGTAAAGAGGACAATCGTCTCCGATGTCGTGCTCTTCCAAAAGTCGAAAGTCGTCGTGAGGGACTGTATGGGGAGGTTTGCCTCCACTTCAGCCCCCAACATTGCCATTCCCAGTACCAGCGAAGAGGCCAGAGGGATCAGCGGGTTAAAGGCTACCGCCACTGTGGCCTCTGTCTTGGACAGGGACAAGGTAGACAAGGCCGAGACCCAGGACAGTGGGAAAAGAACGAAGGGAACGACGTCGAGCGGCAGTTCCGTTGTCTCCGTGAAGATGTCCACACCGAAGAAGCAGCCACCTCCCGAACCAATCTTGGTCCGCAAGAGGGATCCGCGTGTAAGACCGCCTACGACTGGGCTAGGAGTAGGCCTGAGGGAGAAAAGGGAGGAGGAAGCTGCGAGAAAAAAGATCGAGGCGGAGAAGTCCCTGGAGAGGGATATTGTGGACCTCCTCAATAGGGGGGTGTTGCAGTCCTTGTCGGACACGCGACCCCTACAGGAGGTCTACAAAGACGCCAGTTCGGCCGCACTGTTACGGGACAGCAGCAGCAGAGTTAGCCTCGGAGGCGGGCCGTGCACTTGGCGCGATTCGCCTGGTGGCACGAAGGTCTAAGACATTAAATGGGACCTTCGTGTCACTTATGAATCGTGCTGTGGCCGCCTCTGAGGCGATCCTCCAGACCCTTATTGTACGGATAGCGGCTAAGGACGGAAGAGCTGATGATAGGTCCGGTGTTGAGGAAGAAATGGAGGCAATAAGGGAGGAGAACAGGAGATTAAAGGTGGAAAATCGGAGGCTGATGGAGGAGCAGAGTGCGGCGAAAATGACCATCGGCGTCGCACAGGAACCAACCCAGTCTAACTCCAGGCGTAGAACATACGCGAAGGCGACAGCCGGCAGTAGTTCCTCCTCATCGGAACCCAACGGTAAGGAGGCACTTAGACGGAAGAAGACAGAGCGAAAGAAGAGGAAGGTGGTTAAAACACCGGTCATAGAATCCTCTGACTCCCCAATGGAGACGGAGACGGGAGACCAGGTAGGTATACCAGCTTATGATGATAATCTAGATTTGGACAAAGGAAAGGAACACGCCACTGCCCCGTTGCCAGCCCATAGACCTCCAGTTCAGGGGGTATCCAGAGGGAGCTGGACGAGGCGATGGCGGTCAAAAACCTGGATGTAGAGGCCAGGAGGGCTTACAACAGGCTAACGAAGGAACTCCTCCGGCTCGTAGATACCAAAGAGGGCCTGAACCCGGAGGGGAGAGAACATGGGGCCCTAACGGAAAGGATCGAGGAGGTAACAGTAGAAAGGGTAGTAATGGAAAGGGAGGACCCTGGGAAGATGACTCCTAGACCGGTGGTGCGAACCACCGTTACAGATCCCACTCCTCCTCCAACCAGAGTGGCGAAAGTCAGTCTGGGAGGGAGGGGGGAGGAGCGGAGGGGCGGGGGCCAGTGGATAGAGAGTCTGAAACCCAGAGAAGGAAGAGAAGGAGGAAGGAGAAGAGAGAGAGGGAGAGTCAGGAGAAGGGGACTACCGTGAGGAAGGAGGAGGCAAGGAGACTGGAACCGGCGAAGCCGGGGCCAAGCCATCCTCACCCGAGGGAAGGAAAAATAACGTATGCCCAAATGGCGAAGCAGATGGGGAAGAAGGATCGGGACAACGATGGTCAACAATAGGCGGGGCCCAACAACAAACCCGCCAACCGTTCCCAACCCGCACCAGCGAAGGACGAGGAATGGACCGTGGTGAGGGGTCCTAAGGAGAAGAAGAGGATGAGGAAGAAGATAAGTAAGGGGGATATCTCCAAGCTCTCTCCTCCTCGGCCTGTCAAGGAATAGAAGAAGGTGGCAGTGGTGCCGAAGTCGCCCAGATCGGCGGCCATCACGGTTACTTGCCCGCAAGACTCCTATAAGGAGTTTATGGTTGAGGTCAGGCGCTGGATCAAACCGGCGGATGTTGGCATTCCGGGTGCCCTGAAAATACGCACGACCCGTACCGCGGCCTTGCTTATAGAGGTGCCTGGCCTCAACTCTGGACCCTCCGCCGACGGACTTGCCGAGGAGCTTGAGAAGTTGGCGGCGGAGAAGGGACCTGGCTATTGCGTCCAGAGGCCGGTGAAGACCGCGGCGTTGCGGCTCACCGGTCTGGACGCGACGGTCGGGGCCGAGGATGTAATGGCCGCTGTGGCCCTCGCTGGGGGCTGCTCACATACGGAAGTCTCCGGGGGTGAACTACAGCTCACCTAGCGAGGCACGGCCACGTCTGTGGTGCGGTGTCCGTTAGCGGCAGTCTCGAAGGTCGCCGCCGCGGGGCGGGTTCAGGTGGGCTAGACCCGAGCCGAGGTGACGGCGCTGCCCGCTCGCGCGGCTCTCTGCTTCCGGTGTATGGAGCAGGGGCACGTGCGCAGGCGATGCAAGA